AGAGAGAGAGAGAGAGAGAGAGAGAGAGAGAGAGAGAGAGAGAGAGAGAGAGGAGAGAGAGAGGAGAGATCATCTGGTGTGTAGTCTTTAAAATAAGTCTTATGACTTCATACATACTGGAGAGTTGTTCTGTCATTGAGTTACACCCATGTCTATTAATATACTTGTTTGCTTTTCTGGTTTGTTTTTTTAATTTTTTTATTTTTGTTCCCATTCCACTACTGGATTCACTGAAGATCAGCAATTTAGCTATTACGTAGAATGCTGAGCACTGAAAAAACCTTTCCTACTATAAAAATAGGATGGAATCTAGCTGAAAGGATTGCCACCTTTCTGACTTTTATACAAAAAACATTAGAGTCAATATTCTAATGTGTCACTGTTGAAATTGAACTCGGGTAACCAAGTTGTGTCTGATGAAGATAGTTTAGATCATGCAGCAATTGGTTCTGCATAGCAGGTCCCCATCATACACAACAGTCCTTAAGGAGAAGTGTTGTATAAAAGTAATTTCTAGCCTGCAATGTAAATAATGAGAACACTCTAGCTGGCTTTGCTGAACCAGATGTGTCCTCAGAGCAGAGCAGAATGACCAGTAGGGAAATGTTCTCTTGCCCCTGCTTGCTTGATTTCAGCCATGGCAAATGTTCAGTATTGCACACGAGAAATCTCCCCAATACCTTAAGATACCATTGCAGATGAGACCTAATTCTTTTAAAATAAACTTACCTACCAATTTTCATACAAGATTCTGTTGCTTTTATATTTTATCCTGCAATATTTTATCCAGTACCCTTTTGTGTAGTGCAGGTGATTGGCTATAGATATGTTTTGGTTTTCTTCATGTGATAATGTGTTTATTTCCCTCTTCTTCTTAAAGAGATATTCTCAGAACATAGAACATTCTTTTGATTGTTTACTTCTTAAATATCATCCATCATTTTTCTTTCTCCATGTTTTCCAGTCAGCAGTGATCCTTCATACATATTTTTATCCACTTCTTTGAAAGTTTTCTTTGATTTTTCTATTTATAATCTGGCCTTTTGAGGTTTGATAGTTCTATGAATCATCTGTGTATTTCTTTTTTCTTTTCCTTTTCTTTTCTTTTCTTTTTTTTTTTTTTTTGGTTTTTTGAGACAGGGTTTCTCTTGTGTAGCTTTGCACCTTTCCTGGAACTCACTTGGTAGCCCAGGCTGGCCTCGAACTCACAGAGATCCGTCTGCCTCTGCCTCCCGAGTTCTGGGATTAAAGGCGTGTGCCACCACCGCCCGGACATCTGTGTATTTCATTACACTTAAAATAAACTTGTAATTTTTTTGTACTAATTAGGGAAAGTTTTTTTTTTTTTTTGTAGCTATTCTTACTTTAGGACTATTTTGCCTCCTAATTTTCACATTAAAATTCTTAGAATTGAACATAGATCCCTTAGACTGTTTATATTTCTAAACACATAGATGCAGATGATTTCTGAAATTATCTTCCATAATTTCATGCAAGTATACAAATCCAGTGCCAACTTACTTGCACCACTCCCAAGATACCCCAGATACCATTCTCTCTCTTCTCTCTCCCTTCCTTATTGACTTCAATTGCACATGTAGAAAATATTGACTTCTTAAACTTAATCTTGTGTACATAATAATTAACTGTGTTGTCCTCATGAGTCAATGGCTATGCTATGGCTGGAAGAAAGCATTTCACTGCATGCCTATATGATTTTAAATAATATGTTTTGAAATTCATGCCTTGTTAGTGATATCAATCATATTATTTTACCTGCTCATTGTTTTTAATTAGTTTTTTATGTATAACTTCATTATTATTATACTTTCTATTTCTATCTGAGGCTATATTTTTAACATTAAACATAATGCCTTTATATCATTAAGCATAATTATAAAAACTTATTATTCCTCATAGTTTCAACATGTGAGCTATTGTGAGGTTGGCCTTCACTCTTGAGAATTATTTACATATCCCTGGTTCTTTATGTGTCAAGTAATATTTTAACATATACAGCAAAACTGTGGTATACTTTCATTTTTAATTCTCCAGTAAACCTTATTTTCAGAAATAGTTTTTTATATAGACTCTGTCTTTTGAAATGTGTCTGTTTTATGAACAAAATCATCATCAGGAAGGAATGTACACATCCCTGAAATCATTATTTAGATATTAGTATGTTCCAAATGCTTTGAAAATACAATATCTTACAATGATGTGAATTAAAACACTATTAGCCATCACACACATTTTTTCTGTAAAAATACTTCTCTGTTTTAAAATTATTGAGAAGAGTTTTCACACATTCAACAAAATATTAGAAGCTTTTCTTATTGTTATACATATATATATATGCATACCGTGTGTGTGTGTGTGTATGTGTGTGTGTGTGTGTGTGTGTGTGTGTGTGTATGTGTGTGTGGTGTTCTAGTGCATGTGTGTTAAAGTACCAATGTTGAGTTAAGAAGAAATCTTGCAGGAGTTGGTTGTCCAGTTCCTTCCATCATTGATGTTTTCTGAGCCCTGTTCTATCTTTCTGGCCAGAGATGATTAACTCCACATTCTGAACAAAAAACCATTGGCTCTTCCTACTTATGTTAAGTACTGTAAGATCAGAGCTCTGCTTTCAGATTTTTGAGATGCTTTCTTAGCCTATGGTTTGTAAGCTGTTAAATCAGTGAGTGAAAGATGTCCTTGTTCATAAAATTCAATTAACCTGGCATGTTACGGTAAAGTTTGTTGGCATCAATCTTCAGCACTGCACACACACTTATTTTCAAGTTAGTCAGTTATGCCTAGCAGTTAAAGGATAATAAATAAAATTGCCCTGAAAGAGGTGGCTTATGGAGTGGTTCCTTTCACCTTGCTTCAGTGATGTTGTTAAGGATAGGGAGAGGGCACCTGTGCTGTTTTTCTCCTTTAAAGGACAGTTTCCTAGAGTCTTCCTACAATCCTTATTGCAGACATATCTGATATTGTAGAACCCATGTGCATAAAACTATACCTATCTATTGATTGTCTATTGATTATTCTATAAAGATGTATTAGAATTCCACTATATCAGTGCTATCAACTCAGATTCCTATCAGTTGGTTTCATTCTATTTCCTACACAGTCTTCCTAGATCTTTGGAGAAGATTATAAACGTGAGAGGCAGTAAAGAGCTAATACTATGAGCACATTGTTTTTCTTAAGAGTATTAAGAGATGGGCTTTCATTTCTAAAATCTTCATTTTGGATTTCTAGATCTATCACCTCAACAGATTTCTTTTAATTTAAGAAATTTTTTTATTCATTTGCATACCAACCACAGATCCCCCACTCATTTCCTCCTGCTGCTCCTCTCCAGTCTTTTTCCCTGCTGACCCAGCCCCCATTCCCTCCTCCAAAAGGGTAAAGGATGCCATGGGGAGTCAGCAAAGCCTGGTACATTTGGTTGAGTCAGGACTAATCCCTTTCCCCCTACATCTAGGCAGAGCAAAGCATTCCACCATAGGTCGTGGGCACCAAAATGCAGCTCATGTACCATGGATAGATTCTGATCCCACTGCCAGGTTCCCCTCAAACAGAACAAGCTACACAACTGTCTCCCACGTGCAGAGGGCCGAGTCTGGTCCCATGCAGGTTCCACAGCTGTTGGTCTAAAGTTCGTGAGTTCCTATGAGCTTGGTTCAGTTGTCTCTGTAGATTTCCCCATCATGATCTTGAACCCCCTTACTCATATAATCCCTCTTCCCTCTCTTCGACTGGACTCTAGAGTTTGGCCTGCTGCTTAGCTGTGGATCTCTGCATCTGCTTCCATCAGTTACTGGATGAAGGCTCTATGATGACAGGGTGTTCACCAGTCTGATTACAGCAGTAGGCCAGCTCAAGCACCTCCTTCACTATTGCTAGTAGTCTAGGCCGGGCTGGTCCTTGTGGATTCCTGGGAACTTCCCTAGCCCCATAATGTCTGCCTCTATCAAGATATCACTTTCATTGCTCTCCCACTCCATCCTTTTCCAGCTCAACTATCCTGTTCCCTCATGCACTCATCCCCCATTCCCTCCCCTCTATTGCCCCCCTTGCTCCCAGTTTACTCATGGAGAGCTCATCTATTTCTTCTTCCCAAAGCAATCCATGAGTCCCTCTATGATCCTCCTTGTTACCTAGCTTCTCTGGAGCTGTGGGTTGTAGCCTGGTTACTCTTTGCTTTACATCTAGAATCCACATATGAGTGAGTACATACCATATTTGTCATTCTGAGTGGATTACCTCACTCAGGATAATATTTTCTAGTTCCATCCAGTTGTCTGCCAATTTCATGATGTCATTGTTTTTTACAGCTGAGTAGTACTCCATTGTGTATATGTACCACATGTTCTTTATCCATTCTTCAGTTGAGGGGCATCTAGATTGTTTCCAGGTTCTGGCTATTATGAATAATGCTGCTATGAACATAGTTGAGCATGTGTCCTTGTGGTATGGTTGAGCTTGCCTTGGGTATATGCTCAAGAGTTGTATCATTGGTTTTCAATACTGATTTCCAAAAGGCTGTACAAGCTTGCACTCCCAGCAACAGTGAAGGAGTGTTCCTCTTGCTCCACATCTTCTCCAACTTAAGCTGTCATCAGTGTTTTTTGATCTTAGTCATTCTGACAGGTGTAACATGGTATCTCAGAGTTGTTTTGATTTGCATTTCCCTGATGACTAAGGATGTTGAGCAATTCCTTAAATGTCTTTCAGCCATTTGCGAGTCTTCTGTTGAGAATTCTCTGTTTAGATCTTTAGCTCTTTTTTTTTTTAAAAAAAAATTCGATTGTTTGGTATTTTGATGTCTAGTTTCTTGAGTTCTTTTTATATTTTGGAGATCAGCCCTCTATCAGATGTGGGGTTGGTGAAGATCTTTTTCCATTCTGTAGGCTGTTGTTTTGTCTTATTTATCATATCCTTTGCTTTACAGAAGCTTTTAAGTTTCAGGATGTCCCATTTATTAATTGTTGCTCTCAGTGTCTGTGCTACTGGTGTTCTATTTAGTAAGTGGTCTCCTGTGCCAATGCTTTCAAGGCTACTTCCTACTTTCTCTTCTATTCAGGTTCAGTGTCTCTGAATTTATGACCTCAACAGATTTCTACACTGAATATCATCTATTTGCCAAGCCTGATATGGAGAAAGTTCTCATTCATATTGGTATTTTGAAGAGAAAGAAAAGATGCAGCCAGTTCTTATCCTGACTTTCCTAGACCTGCACACATGCTGTGCATGAAAATAAAGATGTAACATGATGGAGCAGAGCTGGAATGGAAGGAAAAGCATCAACCCTCTTTTTAACCCCCAGCCCCAATAAGGAAAGAAAATTCAGAATGCTGAGTTCCAGCACCAGTGGCTCCACAGTCTCCCTTTATAATAAAAACCAGTCACCAGCTATGTTTGAATACCCAGTACCCAAGTACTTAAATTGAAGTAAATATGTTAGACTTATAGTCTTCCAGCATTATGGTATATAAAGGGAAGAAAACAAGATATTTATTCTACATTAGAGTTGTCATTATACCCCATAGATTGTAAGTGATGATTAGACAATAACTAATCATGTGCTTTAAGTTATTTTATAGCATTTTCTCTGCACTTTTTATAGCCTTTATATGTAACAATAACAGACTTGGAAACCGTGAATGATGTTATGAAGAAGTTACTACCTATGATAGGAATGCCTGTAAGTTACTTTCAAGCTACTTTGACTTTAATTTGAGCCTTTTTTGGAGATCCACATATGTACAAATGTGCATATAAAGATATACAGAAGATACTTGATCATGATAAATTTACAAATCATATTTTACAATCTCCATTTAGAACTGAAGCATCTAAGATATAATGATAGATTTTAGAGGAACATTTTTCTTGAATATTTGTCTAAGGTTCATGTGAAATGAAATTCATAGCTCAATGGTTTTGAGCTATACTTTTAGTCTCCCTGGACAATTTACATTTTCTATTGTAAAAAATAATTGAGATTATTTGGTCATATGCACACATCAAATTTAAAGACTGCCAATTGTGGAGGTAATGATGTTCTTTCTTATTTTTGATTATATTGTACTTCATATTTGGTATATAATTTGTCCTCCTCTCCCATTCTTTCTTCTTTAACTTCTGTGTGTGTGGAGGTGTAGATGGATGTGTTTGGGTATGTTCTTTTTTCTCTCTCTCTTAATATTTATGTGTATGTGTCTTTTTCTATCTCTGTTCTTCTTTCTCTCTGCATACATATCTGTGTTTAACTTTGTCTTTTTGTGTGTGAATATACGTGTCTCTGTGTATTTATGTCTCTCTTTGTGTATATGTTTCTCTGTATGTATAGATGACCCTCTCTATCACCATCTGTGAATTTATATAATTTCTCTGTGTTGTTCTCTCTGTCTCTGTCTTTCCATGTCTATGTCTGTCTTTCCCTGGGTCTGTCTCTCTCTCTCTCTTTGTCTCACTTCCATGGTGTGTTGGGGGGGTGGTAGTGGTGTTTATCTGCTTGAGTGTGTATGTCTGTTCATTTTAATAATTAAGACTTCTACAGGGCAGTGCAATTGTTTTTAATCTGGAATCAACAACAAAGTCCAATTAATGATAACTCCAGTTAAAGCATATTTTTACTTTACCCACTATAGTAGGGTGCTAAATATTTCAACAGAATACTCTATTTAGATGGTTGTTCCAAATGGATCCATAGCACTGTGTACAGTAATTGTGTTGTGGAGCTGTTTTCAGCATCTGGCCTATTTTCTAGGTTAGACACACGTCCTTCCTCTCTACAGATTGGACATTTCTGAATGAAAGTCAAATGTTCTTTTTACTCCTAGGCATCCTCAAAGCCTCTCTGTTTTTTTTTTTTTTTTTTTTTTGTCTATTTGCCCAGTCTTGCTGAGGTTACCACATCTTTCAAAGGATACTTTGCTCAAGAAATCATAGGCACTGAGGGTGTATGGCTCTCTGAGTACTAGGTTGTGTGGGCATTTCATGTCAAAGTTCAATATTCCACATACATGTGGACAAACGGATGTAACAGATCTTGGAATAACATTTTTGTTGGTAAGTGTTGATGGGTGAATGTAATTTTTTATCCATGGTCATTCAGAGTCTATTGTGGATCAATAGATCTAGGCTCCATCAGAAAGGCAAGGCAAGTACCCAAGGGTTTTCTCCTGAAATCATCGCAGATGACTCAAACCTGTAGTCAAAAAACACATCATTAATAGTGATCCTAAAAATTTTCCTCCTGGAGAGCTGGGAATGGTGAGGAAAGGTATTCTTAAAGTATCCACTGTTAAAGACTATCTGTGATGGTTGGTTCTTTTTGTCCCCCAGAGTGCTCAAGATTACCAACTGTGGTTCTGTCGTGGCCTCCAAGAAGCCCCAAGCCTACTCCAAGGTAAGTAACAGGGAAAACTAAAGAGGGCTGACCAAGGCAATGTTTTCACCCTGAATTCTCAATGTTTTCATCATTCAGTCTTAAATTTAAATCAACATTAAAAAAAATAACTTAAACATTATTTCATTCATTTAATTCACAATTACCAACTATTTAATAGAACCCAGTCACATGATACTATCTCTTTTATGCAACAGTCTATGGGCTGGTGAAAAAAAACCTGGAATTTTCCTGTGCATTTCCACCTGAGAAATATAATTTTCCTAAAAAGTCAAATAAAACAAGATTTTGGATTTCTTGATTCTAAATAAAAAAAATTTAATTTTCATTCGTTGAAGATTAAAGACAATGCTAGGGGCTAGAGAGATGTCTCGGTGATTAAGAGCACTTACTAACTTGTTGTTCTTGCAAAAGGACTTGTTTTGATCCACAACACCCACAACCATCCAAAACTCGAGTTTCAGGGGATGTGATTCCCTCTTCTGACCTGCTCAGGCAGCAGGTACAGCATGATGCACAGATATACATGTGAGAAAAAAACACTTACATTCATAAATAAGTCTAAAATTTAAAAACTGAAATTTAAAAACTTTAAAGAATATTCCATTTATTCCAAACTATGTAGCTTCTGTTTTGGCATGAACATGTGAAATCTAGCCATTTCTCTGAATCCATGTAAATATAGTCAGTTACATCTCTCTATGACCTCATTGAATGAGAAATATTCTGTTCAGACTTTGGGAGCCTTCCTGACTGAATCATCTGTTATTCCTTATGTTGCACTTTTCTGGAAATTTTCACAAGATTATTGACATGTAGATAATAGTAATAGAAGATTTATCTGAAGCATTTGGATAAGAATTAAAAATCTGAGATTACCAAATCTGCTTCTGAGGCTGACCTTCAAAAGATACTGAAAAGGTGATGTTCTAAGACATGTAGTGTTCCTCAGACAAGTAACAGTGAGGATGTCTGTTGGAGGTGAGAGAACATTACCTTGTTCAAACCTTTCTCCTGTATCCTAAGAACAATCTGTGGGGACATTCTTGGTTATTCAACATACAGAAATCAGACTAATTTTTAAAAATATTTATTTTCCGGGTTTTAGGACATTGGGCAATATCAGGGGAATAACCCACCTACATATTTTATATTTTTTTCTTTATGGCACAGGATATTGATATGGAGCCCAGACAGGTAAGGGACTCATGACCCTCACTGTCATAAGCAAATGAGTGCTGGGAATACAGACATATGCCAAAAATGTCTGGTCCTTTTGCTTTTTATAAGGTGGATACAATTACAGTTCTCAGTCAATAATAAAACAAATGGGGGGGGCTTATTACAAAATAAATTTAATTACTGTAAGGTGTCAACTTGGTAATATTTTAATTCTACGGTTTGGAAGAGCTTTGCACATCATGGATGCTTCAGAAATCCCAAGAACTGAACAGTCTTGTTGATTTCTCAGCATTCATTTTGAATGTGTATTTCAACCCACAGGCCATTCTCAAGTAAGTATACTCATACTAGATTGTTCCATATTGATCCCTTGTAAGTTTCTGGAGTCTACTAATTTAAATGTTACTGTAACTCTTGATCTGATTGTAGCACTGGCCTTGTATCTGTGTCAGAAGGAAAGGCAAAGCAAGAGCTTAATTATACTGGTGATTCATCAGAAATGGACAGGGGCAAGATTCCATCCTTCTCAGAAAATCATATCCACACCACAGCACAGACTCTTTAAGGTTCCTTTAGAGAAAAAAAATGTAAAACGTGGGAGAGCAAAGAAAACATCTCTACATTAATTCCAATTTTGTGGATGTAGTTCTAGCCCACAGTCGCTGTCAGAGCAAAGTCCAAGAATGGAGTCTTGAGAGGGAAATTCTGAGTGCTTGTGAGAAAACTCCACAAGACCAAGACAATGGTCTTGTGACTTCTGTTTCATCAAAAACATGGAAATGTTTTGACATGTGATTTTGTGCTCTTCCCAGGTGTAGCAGATAGGAGTGAGTTCACTTTCACGTCAGCTGCTGTTACTCAGCAGCCTCTGTGGAAAGTATTTTTGCCACGGGCAACTTGTCCTTGTGATTGTGCACTTTGCTCAGGAGACTCTTCTTCACCCTCAGAGTACCAATTGTCTAATGCTCTCAATAAAGTTGGCTGCTTCATGAGACTTTAATCCACCTCATGTTAAGGCCCCATATCCCAGGTTCGTGCCCCCTCGAGCCGTAAACAACTGCTGTGTGCAGGAGGCATCTGTGTTTTCAAGGCAGAAACCAGCAGGCCTTAAAACTGTCACAGGG